TTGTCTCCAGCAGCCAACTTTTACCGCATTTGCCGTGTATAACATGACTCCGATGGCATAAAAACTTGTATGCAAGGTCCCCTATCTCAACCTCATCATGGCAGAACAGGCAAATTAAACCGCCATTTTGTTCTTCGTACAGTGGGACAACTCTGTTCACTGCCCTCACCCCGGATATTGTATCTGTATTATACCGGACCAGCCATTCCCCTCGTGCGCCGTGGCTAAGCAGGGTTTGACAGACGTCTTCATCATTATTTTGAAGCGCATATTGTAGTGCGGTATACCCGGATGCGTCTTTCATATTAGGGTCGGCCCCGGCACTGAGCAGGACGTTAGCAATGGAGAGTTTTTTTTGCTTCACTGCTCGATGAAGCGGTCGATCGCCTTGTCCGCTGCTGGCAATATTAAGCGTTCCTCTATCCGTTGCAAGGGTACGAACTAGGCCTAGATGGCCTTTTTCGATCGCCTGAAGAATAGGCGTGTCTCCGCATGGATCAAGATGATTTGTTGCTGCATTGTGTTCCATCATTTCACGCACAATATCAGGGACGCCCAGGTGCACCGCCCAGTGGAGTGGCGACAATCCAGCACTGTCGGGTAGATCCACATCTTGCCCGTTGCGTATGAGCCAGGAAATTGCGGCGAGATCCGGAAGCCTGCCTTCCGGGGACCAAAGCTTTATCCGCAGCATCGAGTACACGATGGTCTTGCCGGTGTTGTCCACGATCGGCAAAGGTCGCTTCACATCTGACCCGGAGTTTAGGAGCACGGTAGCCATTGACAAGTCAGCTTTAGGCGGGATACAGATGACTCTCTGTAAATGTGTCAAGGGAGAGTGTGTAATTTGGTCCGGGCGATAGTGCGGAGAGTCGGTGAGAATTTTTAGTATTTCGGGATTATGAGGTTGCCAATAAATGGCATGGCTGACAAGCTCATCGCTACAGGAACGGTCCTCTTCCTGGGAAACTGCCAGCCGAACTTTGTCACAATCCCCTTCTTGGATGGCATCATACAAGGGAGAGTCAAGAATGGAGTCAGAATTCATGACTGCCGGAGGGCCTCAGGAACTAGCAGATAGAAGTAGCCTATCGACGGGAAAACTTTGTACAGATGGCAGCTGGGTCGTCGTTAGTGCTTAGACTTTTGAGATTGTTAGGAGAAGATATGGAGGAATCTCGCCGCAGGCGTCGGGGGTCAAGAAGATAAAGAAGTTGGAGGCTTGGCAAAGGCGACTAAATCCTGCCGTGACAATGGCGAAGTCTTGGAAATTTCCCTCTATTGTACAGATCTTAGCCTGTCAGCTCGTCAAAAGCGTCCTACTGGAATAACTTATGCCAGAAGTGAACTCCATGGCATCCTCAAGAACACAGTTCAGAGGTGTGCGGGATGACCCGCTGAGGTGAGGGAGGCAATTCAGGCAGTCTGAGAGAGTCTACGGAATGATGACTTTTGCCGTTCTCGTTCAAGGCACTACTATTCTACTTTCTAGGTAGCCCTACCCTTTAAAACGCGTACTTGATCGGCAGAATGTGCACTGAGTCGGTTGGATGTTCTGGCTTTTCTCCTCTTCCCGCGGGGTGGGTGCATGTGAACGTCGAGGTAGAGGCAGCGGCATTCCAGCGAGGGTCGTGATCGGAGGAACTGTCCGCCGTCCATCATGAGGAACCATAGGCTCGTATTAAGATTGAATCGACCATGATAGGCGGGCCCTATTGCAGTTGGTCGTCTCGTCGCGGTCGGCCCTGCGTGACAGCCAAACCATAGATCCAAGCACAGCAGAGACAGGTGGCACGAAACCTTTGATCCCCTACCCGTATTGCCTTGACTTTCTTCCCGGCTACGCTCTGCGCAAGGCGTTGCCTGCTCATATTTGTGACATCCTATTGGCCCAGACCAGCTCACCGACTCAGGTGCGTTTGTCATGCGTCCGCATTAAATCCAAGGGCATCCGTACCTAAATTCGCCCCTTCAGATGCCACGTCACTAGAATCGGCGTACGCATCCACGTCTATCTGTAGGTGAGCGCCTGCAAGCTTCGGGAGGAGGGAAAAACTCATAGGTAATGACAGCGCACACGGCCAGGCGCAGGAGGCAATAACGCGTATCATCACAGACACCACCGCTAAGGAGTTCCTCGTCGCTGCAGATTTCCACGTAGTGCATGCAATCTAGCAGCGTTCGACTCGAGAGAAAACTAATAGCGAGCTCCCTCGGTGGGCAGCCGATGTTTCATTCGCCCGGCCACCCTGCAGAGGCCCGCCTGGGACTCGCCCAGCGGTGTACCGGGAAATCAGCCCCAACAAGGGTAGGATATTTATCTATGTAAACAGCGCTCTAGCATTTCCAAAGATCTCATTCATCACCCTCAGCAGCTTGTGCGAGCCTCTAAGTGTAGATCCAATATCATCTAACCAGACATTTTAGGATCGCTCTCTTTCATTAGCACCAAAGTCTCGGGTTCTTCTAACGAGAAGTTCGGCATCACCAGAAATGTTTACCTCCCTCTATCTGTTCTGTGCAGAGCTCAACCTGTCAGCGGTGACTCCACCTGGGGAAGGATGGGGCCATGATCGCATCGTTTACGAAAATGTCACGTTCACTGGAAGCGATGCAGATAAGACCTATACCGTCTGTATCGACCCACAGGATACAGACGAGTACGGAGTCCTTGCGGGAAAGTCTCTGCAGCCTTTCTGTAACTTTCAGCAATTCAACACAGAGAAGACGTTCAAGGTAGATTTCCGCGGCGCACGTCCAGTCCCAGCGGAGACACCTTGGGACTGGTCTTGGGGCCGAAAACAACTCCGGGCCCTTCAAGAACTTTCGGCTTCTGCTCAAACTGATGTCAGCAACCGACGAGACCTCTTCCATGTTGTCGAAAGGCGTCTCGACTCGGAATCAATCACCCCACCACCGCTTCAGGATACTGAGTACTACAGAGTTCGTTTTACCAACCTTTCTGGAGAGTCCAGGGTGTATTATGGGCAAACCTGTGCTGGCAAATGTCCAAACTCGCCGAAAATTCGATACCTCGCTGACGCTTTATCATTCGAGAAATTCGCTGAGAATAGTTTGAAGAGTATCGAGGTCTGGCCGTGTCCGGACGACGAACTTCCGAAGGACACTAAGGTGCTTTGGGGGTGCTTTGAAAAAATTGCGTTCGGACTGAGAGCAACTGAAGAGCAACTCGACCTCAATGCGCAATCTCAAGTGAGCAACTGGAACGGATTACCCATTCTCAAAATCTAAAGTTCCCTTGCTTACTTTTTATCCTCGCCACTTTCGTTAGTTTCTATGACTAACGGTGGCTCTGTCATGTTTGACTTGTCGGCTGCGCTCATCTGGAGAGGGATCCATGGTTGAAGGAACTTTTCCGATGTGGGCAATGATTTGGTGATACTGTAGTAATTAGGCTGAAAGATAATGAAGGGGGCCAAGTCAAAATCGACGTTGGTGTGTCAAGTTGTCACGGAGAGAGGTCACGGGATGCCAAGTACCCCACGCATGCCAGGAGCCTGCTCTTCAGGCTCGAGTAGTCGATGATTTAGGGACGATAGTAATGAATCGGATATCCCAGTGTTTTCGTTAAGCTACAGTACTACTACATACTGTAAGCGCAGGGAACCTTTTGATTTTAATTTCGCCTCATAATTTCGGCTTTCGTTGGAGAGGGTAATTTGGAAGTCAATCAGATCGCACGGACGGAGTGGACTGGAAATGGCTGGTATCAACCTATGGCTACCATTCCCTGCCAAGGCAAATGCCTTCCAAGCAGGGCAATACTATTGGCCCAAATCCTGACACGCCGATTTGTTGTCCGTACCTGTCAGGCTGTCATCGGCGTGAAACACTTTTACCTTCCACTTATCACCTTTCCAGCCCGTCTTGTTTAAGGTTCCCGTCTCCTCGCTTTCTCTTTTGCCGCCCTCAAAGTTCGCCATCGCGATGGTTGTTCATGGTCGGGGGTGCAGCCACGAAGCTGGTCAGCATGGGTCTACTGGTGCCCTGTCGATATTACACCTTGATCCATATCTAGATTCGTCGCCCCAATGTCAATGTTCGAGCAGCCCGGTGCACACTGTCCGCTGACTTGCTACAGTATCCAATCTCATATCGATTCACCCCGGACCCAGGGCCCGTGGATTGCGTCACAAGGGGATCAACATCGACCCTTCATCTCCCACCGGAGCCAACTACCTCAACGACTTCAACTGATGGATTAAGCTGATCCTTTTTGTGTCGAGGTCCATCCTCATCCCGACTCCCCTCTCAAGATGCCGTCGCGCTTGAATGCGTCTGCGCCGGTACTGTCGTTGGACGCAGGCAAAATACACCAAATCAACCCATCCAGCGAGCATGAGCTGGCGGGTATGGTCTTGCGAGCCATTATGTCTAGCTCCCACCGACTCTTCCCCGGCCGGGTCGAGTCGCATGCCGTCATGATCCAATTCATACTCTTCAGTCTGCGTGAAAGAGCAGCATCCCCTGTGAATTCCAGCTCGAGATGGTGGTCATTTGGCCACGATGACCGCGCCCGGCTCCTCGTCGAGATCACGACATTTGACACCACAGACACTAGAGAAGCTCGTGGTCAAGATACAAGAGAAGGCCAAGCCGGGCCCGCTACCTCCCTCGAAGCCAGTCTCACCACTTCACCTTGCTCTTCTCATAACACATCAACCTCCCAATCAAAACCCGAACCCAGAGTCACTTCAGACTCTGTATATTTCTGCTACAACCAACGGAACTTCCGATACCGCTCGGTAAAGCGAGGACCGAGATTCGCATACTTTAGTGTCCTCAGATGGCCTGATACCAAGCGGATCTATTGTGCACGGCTTCTCTCCGGTAGCGTCATCTTTCCGAAGACCAAGTGGCTTTGGCATGCAAATTACGCGTGTCGGACTTGCTTGAGAGACGTGGCTGCTCAACGAAGAATTCAAGAAGACGCAGAGGAGAATGAGGGAGCGATTGAAAGCAGCGACGAAGAAGATGACTCGCGTGAGGTGGTTGAGCCAGCCTTTAATGAAGAGGATGAGGATGGTCCTGACTGGGAGGATTCCAATTCTGATGACGGCAAACGCGTTCACGAAAATCATGTACTCTAGCGTGTGGAAAGCCGACCGGACCTGGTGTCTCGAGGATCAATGTTGACACTAGTCCTGGACGAAGGGCAAGGACGATGGAACCATGCCTTTCCGCAACCTGTTCTCCGCCAATCGTGGCCTTCATCTCCACGCGGAAGTTCGTTGGCCGCATCACCCGAGGATGACGGTGATGGGACGGTGATGCCAACCCGACGACGGGCACCTGTTGTCATTCCTCCACCAACCCTTCGGCCACATCAGTAGCATATTCGCAACGGGCCAGCCGTCGGAACATGTAGTCTTCTGAATTGACCGAGTCCTTACGCAAGAACCTACTTTTGGAGCGACAGCAGAAATCTCAAGCGGCCAACGCTTTCCTCAAGCGAAGCCACAAAGCACGGCGAACCCTACCAGCACATACGGCACCGCCGATCGAACCTGCTCAACCACCTCTCCCAGCCACTAGGACGTCGAAGAATGGCTCTGGAATCATTCCCTTCGACAATGCCTGGGTGGACTACGCTAAAGGCGGGTGATCTTTTGAAATTTGATTTTATACGTTGTTTGGTTGCGTTCATTCTCGGCGAAAAATACGCCTACATCGACTGCTCCGTGTAACTGGGCAAAGGGTACAGGGACGGCGTTGGCTCTGCCCCATCGACCCATGGCATCGGGAGGGCTGGATTTCGTG